AGGCAATATGTAGGGGCGAAATTACCCCACCTAGGTAAAATCATGATTTGAAGGGGGAGGAGGGGGCTGGTGGCCGGTTTTATTTTCGGAGTTCCGGACGCCCCTGCACACATGGTTTGACACGATGCCTTGGGGTCCCGATAAATCCGTTGGACGGTCAGTCAGCTTGGCTGGTGAAATTGGCAACGTCATGCTGACGGGTTTTTGAAACATGGCTGCCAAGCTCACGTGCTTCCTTGTTGGACCTAGTTTCATAGTTTACTGTTCGCGGCGGCGCTCCTCATCAAGGTGCATGTCCAAGATTCACATTAGCCTAACCTTGTAAGAAGCAGTAAAGTAGTAAGTTACTTTGCAAGCTTGAAGCTGTGGACACTTTCAAATGTTCAAAGATGCTCATCACGGGTCATTTCCCGGTCATTTACCCACTTTGTGAAGGCTGTAAAGTGTATCGAATGGTTTTCGGAGCGCAGAAAGCTTGTTATTCTCCCGCTATTCTGCCCTCGCTATAAGCCTTCTGCAGCCTGGCTTGGTTCTCATTAGAAAGCATGTTGAATTCATTGAATGTCTAGGTTGTATCCGCTGGAAACGGGAGAAAGAAGGAAGCTCCATGCGGAGAACCTTAGTAGGCTTTGAGCTGCCAGACCTCACCCGAGACGTCTGCAGGATAGAGGTGCCATGGCTCCTGCAGCCATTGCTACCTGCTAAGGTCGCGACCACGGCTTTGTCCCAGTTAGTATTCGTGTCTATGATGATCTGCAAAACTATAGGGAAGGATGATCAAAAAGAGGTTTCTGGCGTCGACAGCAGGGTTCGAACCTGCGCGGGCGTAGCCCAATAGATTTCAAGTCTATCCCCTTAACCACTCGGGCATATCGACTCGGGAGCACCATCAAAGAGCCTAATAAATCTAAGACACAAACTAAGAGCTTCTCAGTTTTCAAACATGTCGGGGGGGCTGGCGCCCCCCGAACCCCCCCGCTTTAAAATATTTACGTACCGGTACGTAGCTACCGGTACTATTAGCAGCTAGTAACGTGCACGGTACATGACAATACGGAGTACGGTATACAGGCCCAGCTACTTCCTGCAACTGATCTCTCGGGAGCGGGGCTGGCACAACCTGAAAATCCTCTGTAATTAATTAAGTTCGTCACCGCAACGGACCACGTCATCAAGAAAATGCTGCATTCTGATTGGCCCCGCTTCGCGCCACTCTGTTTGTCCATGTACCACTCTCACAGTCTCAAGCAAAGCAGCCATTGGGCCCCTTCTAGTCCTACAATCTCAGAAGGCCGACTTAAAACCTCATTTTAGTTTCAATCTGCTACCGCCACTACTGATAGTAAGGCATAGGCATAACAAGGCAAGCGCTGACCCCACGTGCTTAGTGTGCAGCTGACTGGTTACAACAAAAGGAAAGTTATTTCTCTGAGTTTGCAATAGTTGGCCACGATGAGGCGCTCTGCAAGGCACGTGAAGAAGCTGGTGGTGGAGCGAGATGAAGCGGAGGACGAGGCTTCCAGCGAAGAGGAGATTGAAGAGGAAGAAGTGGAGGAGGAGGATGAAGTCGCAGAAGAAGTAGAAGAGGAGGTAAGCGCGCCCATTAGAAGGGCCTGGAGCAATGAATGAACGGGTGGCGATTATTGGCTTCTGAGTGTGCAGCGTAGTCTCTTTCACGGGATGACTAATTATTGAAACTATGCGCATCAGGAGTGAGTCACCTTCTCCCTATTATGGGTTTAATTGAATTTGAACGGTTTTATGATGGTTGGATTGGAATAGTTGCCGAAACAGGACGTGGGCCCTCAAAGTCCTGTGATGGACTTCATCGCTTTGTGGCAGAAGGGCAATGCTGCCAATTGTTTTCTTTGGGTTCGCTTCTTCTTGTCATGGTGGCATTATTCCATGCTGCCCTCTTCGTCTCGTGGGCGAATTCCAGGTGTCGAAGCACATAGCTACCTACCCCTTGCTAGCTGGCAGGTTTTTTGTTGAGGGGGTACTAAGTTACCATGCGCTTTTGGATTTGCTTGTTTGCCAAATCAAGCGCTGTTTAGGCCGTGCTCGTTTCGCTGGTCTAGCCTCCAAAGACTTCTATGTGGAACGAGGCGGAATTACTGTATAGTCACAGGTGGGAAAAGCTTAACTGGGCAGCCTATATGGGCTGATTCAGTACCCCGCATCGAGCGCCCTTACCCATGGCTACAGGTTTGGAGATGTGGGCACCGTGGTCCTTTTCATGCTGATTTTCTGGGATTGTTCCTAGACCATATAAAGCTCAAAATGCATCGGACACTATCTGGCTTTCCTATTACATCTGGGGGTGGAAAGTAAAGACTATCCGTAGTCCAGAAGCAGAACTTGGTTTTACCTACCTGATAGTGCAGTCTGAAACCAGTTTGGCGAAGGGTTTCTGGAAGTCAAGCTCCTACACTGCTACAGAGTCATAAGAGCAGGGACCTCACCTTGGGTTTCAATGGGTTCAGAATCTGTGCCCGACAATGTTGCCATTGACCTGAGCCCATATAAGAGGTGAGAATTCTCCTTTCCTTGGACCAACATGATCTACGCCCTGAACCTAACAATGTCTTTGTCGTTGCCAGGAGGATGAGGAGGAGGGGGGTGAAGAAGAAGCAGAGGAAGAGCCCCCTGAAGAAGAAGAGCCCGTAAAGAAAAAGAAGAAGCCCATCTCAATCAGTCTCAAAGGCGGCAACATTTGCAAGGTACGGAATCTTTAGATGGACTTCTCGGGGCTTTGACTTCAGTGAAGGCTCATCATTATTGCTTTTGCAATTGTGTAAGTCGAGTGTCCTCCTCGTTCCTTGATTCTCTAAGTTGCTGTAATAGATTTGGCCATCAGAAGCCTCTGTTGAGAAGCTGCAAGTGGCTGCGCGCGGTAAAAGACACTGCTTCCCGGAGAACCGCTTTTCCTCCAACCCTGCTACTTTTAAACCTGCGCTACGATCAGAGCCATACGATCAGGGCCCTTGCAGAGCTGCCCGATTGTTGCACTTTGCGACGATCTCCATACTGACTCCCAAACCTTTGTCGTCCGTTTTCTAAGCCATTTCCACTTGAACACGGCTTCATGCTGCTATGGGAGTCAGAACGCTCACTGCCAGCTCAAACCCTTTGCGCAGGTTTGTAAGAAGACGGGCCACCAGGCGGGTTTCGTTGGGTCCATCTACATGGACTGTCCAAACAAGCCGTGCTACCTATGCAAACTCCCTGGTAAGCATGAGGACTGGCGGCTTGTAAGTTGCTCGTGGATTTCTCAGACGGGGTTGGCAAGTTGCAGTAAACCGTTGACAGATTGTGTGGGTTGCTTACCCGCCTTCGTGAAGCCGTTCATACTTGTGACATCATTCTGGCAGGCCACACGACGATGACGTGTCCCTACCGGACGGCGCCCGAGCACGGGTCGACGCCCGCCGTCCGACGGCAGTCCGGCGGAATGATTGACGTCGTTCGAAACATGCAGATAAACGGACAGCGGCAAGAGGTGAGCTCCTGCGTTTCTTTGTTGATTCCTTAAAACTTTGCCGTTCTTCGCTTTAGTCGCTGGTTTCTGACTTTCCTTCCGCTTGGGGGTGGTCGTTCTGGATGGTCGACGTTTCTGAGAAAACAGAGCGGCACGTGGCGTTAAATGGGGGGCTTCTTGAGTTTTCTGCTTAATTCGCTTCGAAAGCCTTACTTCAGTTCCCACGTTTTGTTTTGAACACCTGTTAAGACGAGGAACGCAGCGTCCTTCCAGAGAAAACAGAACCGTGATCATTCTCTTCATTCTCTTCGTCGCGTGTCCAGTTCAAGAAGCTCGCCAATCTGAAGCTGCGCGATGATATCTTATGTTGGATATTATCGCTCCCTTTCTCAAACTATTTCACTTGCCTTCTTTCGGGGTTATGAGGTGATTATTCTTGACGCAGTGGTAACCCTCGGTTTTCCAGGTTAAGAAGCTACCCCCAATCCCAAACCGTGTTGATGCCGCCGTCCTGAAGCTGCACAGCCGGCGGGTGACGTCACTCGAGTTCCACCCTACGAAGGACAACATTATTGTTTCGGGCGATAAGAAGGGCCAGATCGGCATCTGGGACTTTGAGAAAGTGTACGATAAGACGGTCTACGATACGACTCACCGAGCGCTTGTAAATAGCATCAAGTGAGCGCTCTTTGACATCGTTGTCACAAGCACGAGCCCTTGTCTCATCCTTTGCCTCTGCCTGTGTTGTGGAGCCTGTTTCCGCGTTTCAGATGGTCATTCCCGGTCATTTCCAGCTTTGGGAGCCGTTTATGAAACTGCTGGCACGAAGTTGCAGGACGCTTATCGAGGCTACGAAACCTCTTATCTCGTTTCAAACGTTCTCTCTCAAGTTTGAAGCTCTTCCTGTTTTGGTGTGCGTGCCCTGTCTCGATATACAGCTACAGTAGCTACACTCACCTCTAAACTGAGTTCATCACAGTTCTGGACCGCAGACGAGTTCCTTGGAAGGCAATTGCTGCTCAAAGGGTGTGTCTAGATCGAGATTGTTATAAGTTCGGACGTTCAAGGAGTCAGCTCGAAACCGATATCTGCCGTTGTTCACCGAAGATTTTCATTTTGAGGTCTGCAGGTTTGACGATCAGGACGACACCGCCCTGTACACCGCCGCTTCGGACGGTCTAGTTTCGTGTACGGACATGGACACGGGGTCCGCACAGAACCTGATTGATCTCAATCCGAACGGCTGGCAGGTACGCCCGGAGTTTTCCGCGAGTTGCTTTTGCACTCAGCGGTGTTTCATAACCTTAGACGCTTCGTTTGACCGGCTTGTTTCCGTTGTTGGCATGTTGTAGTACTCGCTCTTAACGCGCCGCTGAGACGTTATCCGTCAGCATTTCCCGTGAGCCTGTTCTGGCGTTTATTGCAACTCCAACCATTTTCGGTTCCTTAAGCAGGTTCTTTAAGCAGCCTCCAAGGGAGTCGCCGACTATATTCCTATTCAATGGTCAGAGAGGATAAGCCGCTGACACGTGTCACTCGCTCATTCGGCAGGGCCCCGCCACGTGGAAGATGGTGTACGGGATGGACGTGTGCCGGAGTCGGCAGCTCATCATTGCGGGGGACGACGAGGGGTTTCTGCACATGGTGGATAAGCGGACGAAGAAACGGACGTCGGCAAAGATTCAAATTCACAAAAAGGGGAGCAAGGTCGTCGGCGTGCACTGCAACCCGTGTAGCGGGGACGTCTTCATGACTGCCAGTGAGTCTCTTTTGAATCTCTAGATCCTGAAGCCTTAGGACCAAATCCAGAGTCCCAAAAAGAAGTACACGGGCGCAGAGATCGGGGGCCACAAGAAAGGGAGCAACGTTGGCGTGCGTCTTAAAACAATTTTTTCCATAATTGCTGGTGAGTCCCCTAAGAATGCTGATACTGGAAATATCAGGACGCGAGCGGGCGCATGCACAGACTGAACCGA